CAGCAGGAGAGGGATGAATTCCAAAGGATGGTTATTGGTAACCAGGTTTGTAGCTTTGATCCGAGTGGGGATCATATTTCTCCATTTGGCTTACTTGAGGAAAATGCACTGATTTCACTTCTATTGTGGTGGTGGTGGTCCTTCAAAAGCAAGTGAAGACACAACAGATTCATGAAATGAAGAAAAAGGAAAAGGAGTACATAAAATTGCAGGTTGTTTTTCTTCTTCCTTGTAACATATTTTCTGTATCATGTTTTTTTTTTCTGTGGCATGAGTGTTGAAACTGTTTATGTTTTCTGTTTCTCTTTGCAGGAGAGGCTAAATCAAGTAATGATGGAGAAAAAGAAAGAATCAAGATCAGGCATGGAGATTATGAATGTGCTTCAGGTAATCAGATTTCTGCTGCCTAGTGACGAACCTTAGCTCTCTCCACATAACCGATTTTGCTGATGTATTCGACAGAAAGAAGGGAGGCAGCGTGGAACCTGGCACGGGAAGAAGGCTGACACCGATTTCTACAAAAAAATTGCATGAGCCATCCATCCCTCTTGATCAGTAGTTTATGTGGAGATTCATGTGGCATTTTTTTTAACAATATGATCTCTGCAGGTGGATGCATATGAGGCGAAAAACCAAGAACTGATGGCAGAGAACACTGATTTAAGAGCATTGCTCCGATCCATGCAGGTACGATCTATCTATGCAGTCCTTTACTGCTGATGAGCCGCTCCTCTTTCAACTGAATTATCAGCAAAGCTTTTCTGTTTGTTTTGTCATCAGACGGATATGCGTGAATTCTTAAATGCGCCAAACGGATCATCTAACCCGTCATTGGGTGTTAGTGAGAGGCACGAGGCTGATCCCTCGCAATCTCCGCTGGGCGGGAAGACGGTAAATATGAAATCTTAGATGAAGGAATTGTTTGCTATTAGTGTTGCTTAGCTTATTTAGTGACCATAACAAGACGTATCACAGGACGTCTTCGATCTACCATTCCGAATGGCTAGAGATCAAATAGAAGAGAGTTTACGCACTAAGATGGCATCCATAAAGGTAGTTTGTTCTCTAAAATCGTAAAATGCAGAACGTTTATTCTACCAAAGGCTTGACTTATCACCATGTTTTATGTATGTAAATCAAAGGAACGCATGGGTCAGCTACAAGGTGCACAGACAGGAGCAGCTGTTACTTCCGAAGCAACAGAGAGAGAGCTTGAACTTGAAGCTCAACTCGTGGAGGCAAGAAGCATAATCCAAGAGCAGGTACTTTGTTCATTTCACTGGACACAAATCTTATTTCGAGGCCTTTATGTCCTCGTGCATTTACATATTACGAGAATTAGTAGGAGAAATTCTGCATTTGTTAGGAAGTCATCTCGTATGATTAGAGACTGACAGAGATGCCCCTTTCTTATTGCAGGAGTCGATAATGTCTAAACATCTCCCGAAACCGGAGAGGCGAAGGTATGATGAGTCCTGCACATATCTTGGCCTAGAGAGAGATTATCTACATGAGATACTGACGATGACCAAATCTGCACAGGGAGTCCATGGTTCCATTGGCAGCTGAGGTATATATAATATCCGACCTCTCCATCATATATATCTCCTTGTTCACATGCTTAGACAATTTAGAGATACTTCATCCTTCAAGATGAGCTTAGATACATTGGGTAATCTGTCTCTTCCCTACAGAGCCCAAATTTAAAGCAGAATTTTTCTCAAGGGTAAAACCCGAATAGCGGCTTTCATTTGGTGAGGCTGATCTTCTTGCTTGTCATCGTACAGGGAGTCTGAAGACGTGGAAAAGCTGTCTGTCCAGGTCAAGGTATGTCACAATTTCACAGAGGTGCAGGATTCTTGTTTGCCGTTCAATCCTAAAACTCTTGTCCAGTTTGGACCGAAACCCCCTTTAGGTTCAAAGTTTGGATATGTTTCTCGAATGTATATTCGCCCCTAGTAGCAGAATCCTAAGTATCAAGAGATATGGAGTATATCCTCGAAGGTATAAAAAAGATTTAGCGGGCATCCCTTCATATATCCATTACGTAGTATAAGGCATGTCCGATCTCGGTCACGTCGGCTCTCATCAAAGACCTCCGATGCAGTGTTCCTTTGCGGCCAAATCAAGGGTTCGCTTTTCAATGATTTGGTCAGATAATTCCTCGTAATGCGCGAGTGTATGTATTATTCGCATAATTTGCCGACTGTTTGGACCGGATAATTAAGGGTTATGTCTCGTTCATTGCTGGTCTAACTACATTTTATTTTATCATTAAGAGTTGAGAAGGAACGTGGCATAATTGCTGGTCTAACTATTATCATATTTCATCAATTAAGATCCAGGGACAGAGTCCATGAGGCCTTGGGTTTCAAGCGATGCTTTGGGCCATTTGATATATGTGACGGTTGAATCAGACACGACCAACGCTGTTGCTTTGTAAGGATTTCGCGATTATTAATGCTCACCTTTTTAAAAAAAATGAAAAATGTTTTTCTCTGGGAGAATTGCTTGATTAGTGCATGATTCAGACACGGGGCTAATGAAATTGAAAAGCACGCAAAGTTAGGCGTCTCTTAAGGGGTTGGTCCAAAGTCCCACATGCCATGCATGGACCGTCCCTCACCACCTAGACCTATATTTTTTACGTGAGCTTCGGATCAAAGTTAATAATTTTGTTCATATTTCTCTTTGTTTATAGTAATCTTCTGATAGTAATCAATCACACCCACCCCATGTTAGGGTTAACCTAAAATAGTCAAGACTTTCAATTTAGCCATAACTGTATAACATTTTACCATAAATATTACGTATACAGTAACTTGAAATATTTATGTGGCAGAAGAAATGCCATAAATGCCGGTTTGGTGATTGGAACTCCTTCCCTTTGCAGCACACATTTTGTATAATTCAAAAAGAATTGGTTATTCCTTTGAATTTTTTTTTTTACAATCGACCCACTGTATCGTAAAAATATTCTAATCTTAAAATTTTACATAGACGGACATCGTGAATTAACCAAAACAAATAAGAACTTATATATACCGTATATTTGGATAAATTAAATCACACTCTTTGATATCCTTAACCGTGTACCTTACCCATGCAAAAGCAACCGGGTCACCCAAGAGTGAAGAAACAAAAAATGTTTGTATAATACAAAGTCAAACCACCCATACAATACAAATATAACAAAAACCTATTAACCAACATTATTCTTGAGTCTCGATATATTACATTAAACCCCAAAATTTCAAATTGTCAACTCCCGTAACAATAGGATCGTTATAATCAATTCACGCCCCCTGCTTGTCGGCCAAGAATCTCGATTTCTTGACATATATATACACACACGTAGAAGTACACAAACATACCCATACCCATAATAATAATTTCAATCAATCTCAGACATCAAAACAAACAAACAAAAATCAAGAATGATGGATCATGAATACTGCATAAATCCGACACCAAAGGCTTCGTTGCTTCTAATGGAGGATGATCTATGCAAGAGAGCGATCTCAAGAAACTCGTCGGCGGGTTGTTCGTCCAGGATGTGTTTATATTACCGGAGCCCAGGAGGAGTTCCTTTCGATTGGGAGACGCAGCCGGGAACGCCGATTGATCCTCCGCCGGAAGAAATCGTCCCTCCGATAAGTCCTCCGCCGGCGATGCTAAGTCTCGGCCTCCCCAAACCCTCCATCTCGGTCGGAGAGTCCAAACCCTCCTTTTTTCCGGTGAGGCTCAAGCTTTGGAAACACCTTCGTCGCAGCAGATATTTCTCCAGGTGGAGAGACCACGGCGTTCTCAGCAGACGTGGTACGAATTAATAATATATAATAAAACGATGGTTATATGATGTTATGCTAAGAAGAATAAAAAATCGAATTCTAAGATGTCCCATGCATGCGTGTCCTCTTATTTTTTGGAATCTATGATCGGAAAATCATATTGATCGGTGTTTTATATGGGTAGTTATCCTGATTCATATATTGCGGACAGTCTTCGTTTAAGTATACTACATTCATTTTTTTTTTCTTTTTAATATACTGCTCTATGTAAAACATCGTAATAGAGAAAGGGAAATATATAGTAGGATTTCTCATTATTAAATATAAAACATTACAATTTTTGTATAAAAAAAACAGAATTGTAAAATATCTCATTAGTGTAAAATATCTAAAGATAAAATTTAATCTAAATATTACATAAATCTTCTTCATGACTCTTGATACACCCAATATTATCTCATTACAGAATCAATATATTCGATAAATTATTTATAAACAAATATGGATGGGCTTTTTTTTGGAATATGGATGCCAACAGACTACAATGCTCGAGGAGGCGATGGGAATTCGTACAGTGGATCGGAGAGGTACGTGGATTTCGATGTGATCTATAGCACGAGCTCTTCGTGTTCGTCTCTGTCTTCCTCGTCGGGAAACAACGATAGGAACTTGTCCAAAGATCGGAGTTTGACAAGTGCTTCACGACACGGCTTTCACGGCTGTTCCCCTTGGAATCTGAGGAACATGAGACCTGTCTTTGTTAGGGTTCCTCGAAAATAATGATTCTGTTTGTACCCATTAATGTCGGATCTCTTATCCTATAATTTATAACTCCTCATCGGAAAATAATTTACCGTTCGGAGATTCCTGTAAGAAAAATCATAGGTTTCACTCCTTGGAATAACCCTCCAGCATTGCTTGTATTATATTATATAGGAATATAAATAATTTTCAATTTTACGGTAATTTTGTCGAATTCACGTGCTAAAAGGCCTAGGCCCATTTGGGTCACTTTTGGTTTGGGGCATGCAATTCAAAACGCACGATGATATAACTCCTTGTAACTTGTAATGGGCTTAAATGACGAAATTATATTGAAGTGGGTCGGCTTATTATATTAATGGGCTGTAGGCCCTTGATATGATTTTGTACAATGTCACAATACATAATAATAATAATAACAGGTAATTTCAATGACATAATTTTCAAAATGTAAACCTAGAAACATAAATCTCTAAATTTTGACAGCATTTCGGGTAGGCAGAAAAATCTTAACAATGGACGGCTGATACTGTAGGGGTGTCAAACGAGCCAACTCGGATCATTTTGGGCTCGGCTCATTTGGTTCGGATCGTTTTGGGTTCAATTCGTTAGGCTCGTTTTCTAATGACCCAAAAAAAACCTCGGCTCAGATCGCTCGCCAGTTTTCCGATCTGAACGAGTTGGCTCGTTGAGCCAAAGATATATAATATTTTTTATTTATATTTATTTTTAAATATAATTATAACATTAAATAAATACATAAAAATTTAATAAAACACCAATATCATTTAATATTTTCAATTATCATCATCATAATAATTAATATATTTATAATATCATATAAATAATATGAAAAAAATTAATATAAAATTATATTAAAGTTTTTTATATAAATTTAATTTATTTTTCAAAAAAATATCAGCTCGTTGACCAGTTCGCCAGTTCGCCGAGCCAGACTCATTGAACACGTGTTCAATGAACTATGGTTCGTTAGGCTCGTTTTTTAACGAGTTGAAAAAATTACGGCTCAAATCGTTCATTTTCTGGCGAGCCACGAGCCAGCTCGTGAGCCGAGCTCATTTTGACACCCTAGCTGATAGTGATTTAGGGGGTCCCATATGTACCCACAAGAAGACAAACTGCCTGACCTTTTGTCCAATGAACTGAAAGCGAGTAAAAAAAGAGTGTGCAGTTATTTGCGTGTGTATATATGCATTACAAACTATGGTTTATTATTATATAAAAATAAAAAAGGTCGTGCGAGATGCAATAATGTAATAATAACAAAAGAGTAGGCAGAAGAAGTGAACGTGGGGAATGATTCGTGTAGCTTTTCAAACCACCCATATATATACAATTTTGACCGTCCATATATACAATTTGTATTTTGAAGATTATAGTTATATCTAAATTATTGTTTCGTTTTTAACCAAAAAAAAATATATTGTTTCGATGATGGTATCTTTACCTTTTATATATATATATATATATCAAAAGGATTTTATACAGTCTTTTGGCTATGCTCTATTTCTCCTGTCCTGAAGCCGCTTTCCTTTGGCCATTGTCGGTAGCGTCTTTCGGCCTTCTCTTTGGTTTGCTCACTCGCGCCCTCTTGATTATCTCATAAAATATCATTTATATTATAATGAAACCCGGTTTGGGATTATTTTTGGAAATACTCGTCAAAATCTCTTAATTATACGAACGACAACAAAGCTAATAACGAGTTTATAATTTTTTAAACACGTTATCCTCTTTCAATCCATCACCTGATCCTCTTTTCCGTTAGTTAGAAATCATTCGCCTACAAAAATGATAAGTTTTTTTTAATCAATATTTATACATTTTGACCGCATTTCGGTCCAACAGAAAGCACTTTCGATGTAAGAGGTCGCATATAAGACAATACTTAGCCACATATGTTCATGAACAACAAAAAAAAATGTCGACTGGAAATACTACCGAATATTTAACACGTGATTCACCGAATTTATGACGTGACCCTCGACACAATCTATCTGCCATGACCTCTCAAAACCATCTTTTTATATCTTTTATTATATCAGCAGATGCGCTTGTGTATTGTGTGTGTGTGTATATATGTGCCCATTAATTTGTCGAATACACTGAAATCTGCACGTGCAATGCGCCAGTCCATGCATACGACGATAACCTTTTATAATTAATGCCGTGCCTCTATTGTCGACCAAAAAAATCATTACGAAATTGTTAGTTGTACTATAAAGTTTCCGATATTTGGGTGAAGCGAATTGGTGGAAAATCTCTCGCTCGGTCGACAACTTGCAAATATATAAAAAATATGTATTACTTATTTATTAATCGAGACAACAGACACCGGATTGAATGTGCTAATAATTGTCAAACACGATGTTGTGGAGCAGAGAGAGAGATGCAGAAGAAACGTGCGCATGGCGGGTATATAACACGTTAGCCGGAAACTACATGCAGCCATGTGCTCTCCATGACCACATATATCCTCGCCTTCTGTTGCCCTACGTTGCTTAGGTCTTACCAGATCTCACACCCCTGACATGTACGTATATATATATACATGCATATGTTCATATCTATATATATATAGATTTGACATCAACGGGGATTGCTAAACGTTAAACGCCGACACACGTACCGTGAAAATGTTTTTGGGCATATAAAAACAAGCACATAATATAGCTGGAGTAACAAAGAAATGTAAGAGATATTCTGAAAACATACGGTTCATGCAATTAAGAATCCGTTTCGGTCGGCCACTAAACCGGTTGTGTATGAAATGTAGTTTGCAGATGTATAAATTTCTGAACATATCTATATATGGAAGATAGATGATAGAATCTACAATGGAAGATCTCTTCTTGACGTTGATGTATGATTGAAATACCAATTATATATACCGAATCATAACCAAAAAAAAAAGAACAAGAAATGGTTGTAATGAAAGGAAATAAGATGGCGCCGAATACTGTAATTTATTGTTTGCACGCCAAACAATTTACTTTGGATTATTTTTTGTAACAAACGCCGTTGATTCTTTTGCTTCATATATATATATATATCCAAAGAGGCGCCAGTCCTGTCAGAAATTATTCTTCTAATTTTCTTTTTCAATTTAAGTCTTTTTTTATTCAAATTTTAAAAACAATGGAAAAATAGAAATGAGTGGTTTAGATAATGGAATGGTCAAAGAAAAGGAACAGAGATTATAAAGAACCAAAGTATGTAATAATTGAGACCAAGGAGAGGGGACACGCACCACTCTTTTAGACCATTTCCAAATTCCAGTCATTCCTTTTTCCTTCCTCAATTTCCAAAATTTGTGAAACCCTTACTACCGTAAAAAAAAAAATCGATGGGTGGTTTTATTTCATGATATTGTATCTGTGTTTTTAATCATATAAAATTTTCGCATAAAATCTAATTAAATTATGTCAAGTTTATAGTTGGCTTTCTGGCATTTTTTGCCAACGTATTCCAAACATGTATTTGTGGAAACCCTCTTTTATTTGTTATTATATATATTAAGGGAATGAGAGCTCTCGCGAGATTGGACCCAATTGCACGAGGCAATTCGATAACAATAATGTCAATTTACGTCGACGCAAAATTTGAACATATTTTCAGTGTTTTGTTTTTTATTTACGTCAGAATTTAAAAATTATTTTCCTTTCGGTGTTAAAAAGGATTTCTGAATTAGGAAATTTGTCGCGTTGTTTTTTTTTTTTCAGTAAATGCTCAAACATGAGGAACACAACTAAAAAGCCAAAAAAGTCTCACGTTTGAACATCCTTAAGAAAAAGTTTTTGAAATTGCAATATTTGTGTGTTTGAAATACGTACTGCAAGAAACGGATATGCTCATTCTTGGAACCTTCGATGTACCTTATCGTCATCAAACATAAAACAAGATTCCGACAAATTATAATTGACGAACAATATCATAAATAAAATAACACAGAAAAGGACAAAAGAGAGAGAGAGTGAATCAATGAATATAATGAATAAACGAAATGAATAAATGGGAGGGAGATGATGACGATGGAAGAGATCAGTCACCGCCCAGTTCCTCCCATCAAAAGCTTCCACTTGCCCTTTTGCTCTCTCCCCTTTTTCCCTTCATTAATTTTCCTCTTAATTATCTCATTTAATCGATCGATAGATCCATGCGGACAGGGAAAAATATCATATTATCCAGTGTTAATTGGTTATAGTATCGGACTAAACAAAAACATGAAAAACATGTGTATAGTCCATCAACTACAAGCAATTATTATATACATATAGTTATATATCCATGCAAATTTTCAAACGATCTTTATCACTATTCTTTATGGGAAGTATACAAATATGTTCCCTAAACCCGATGCGAGACTTGACTTAAATATCTCGCTATTGTCTAAATAGATTATCAAACTCTTATTTTATTACCTCTAGCATTTTCTTGGTTCCGTATGAAAGTCTCGACTCCCTCACGCTCTCTCACATCACATGTGCACTCACTCGTCTCCTTCCCTAACCTCTATAACTGTGTCGTCACCGCTCTCTTTCCCATGACATTTTCTCCCTTTGAAAACCCTAGTTATCCACTATTCCCAAAGCCCTGAATTCATCGGACCAAAGCACAAGAAAAAACAAAAAAAGATACACACACGAAAAGCACCTATTCCCAAAGATCGATGATGAACTACAACGACAACATCGACTCTTGTTCCTCTGCTCCTCTTAATAACGATTCCTCTTCCCCTCACAAGAACTGGCTCGCTTTCTCTCTCTCGGACGGCAACAGCTTAAACTCTTCGCAAAACCCTAATCTTGCTTTGCCCTTTTCCTCTTCCTCCTCTTTGTCAGCGGATAATCGTCAGCTCTCTTTCTTCCATGCTTTTGCCACGAACCCTGGTCTGTTTCTCTTCGAAGCTTTTGTTAGGGTCCTTTATGTTATTTTTTTGTCTGTAAAAAGTGGTACTCGGATGCATCTGCTCTATGGCTAGATAACAGCATGTGTCCTATATTATTGACCATAATATGTTATGATTTCAGAATCATTAGTGTGTTCTGAGTTTTTGTAAACCTTTAACTTGGTATTTTGTTTATAGGTTTGGGTGCAACCTATAAACTTTGGGTAGATAAATTTAATTTCAAGGCTAGATCCCTGTTCTCTGTGCCTAAAAAATCTAAAATGAAAAATATGCCTCGGTGAAGGTATTATTCGTGTTAGATTGGAAAAATGTCGCCTATGCCAGAATATTCACTACCTAAAATCTTTAGGTGCACCGTTAAATGCTCGAGTTCATGGACAAGAGCAACACGGCCCTCCCGGAGACACCGGTAGCGCTGGCGAGGCTTCGACGGCGATTCTATCAGTTTTTTCCGGTGGTCCTAAACTGGAGGATTTCCTCGGCGGCGGTAGAGTCACGACAGCGGTCCCTACACCGCTCGCAACACAAATGCAATTGCAGCCGGTCGGTGGAGTTGTCTTCTCCGGTGAGCCTACGCCGCCTTCCGCGGCGGAGATCTACGACTCCGAGCTGGAATACATAGCTGCTAGCTTCCTCGGGAATTTCTCCGGCGGACCCACCACCCATTCGTCGGAGGGCCATAGTGTTCATCGTCAGCTACAGCAACAACAAAAACCAGTTGTGTCGGAGACATCGGGTCCGAAGAAGAACGTAGAGACTTTCGGACACCGTACTTCCATTTACAGAGGAGTCACGAGGTTCGTCTTCTCCTATTAATCTTCTGCATGTTTATATACACATTCCGTCAGCGAACCATGACGACAATAAGTCATATATTAGGCCTAGGCGTGTATATAATGTGGATGTGTTTATAGATTATATATGCATGTGTTGTTATAATGTATGATCTTTCGTTTTTTTTTGTGACATGCAAAAGGCATAGATGGACCGGAAGATACGAAGCTCATCTGTGGGATAATAGTTGTCGAAGAGAAGGTCAAAGCCGAAAGGGAAGGCAAGGTATTTCTTTTTTTCTCGTCTCCAACTTTTTCTTTTTGGGAATTTCTCGTCGTTTATCGCTAACGTGCGCCATGGGTGCATCATGCACGGTAAAAAAATGTCACCACGCGCGTGTTAGGCAGTGCATGGGGATTGTACTATGTTGCGCTTTTTTTTTTTGTATGTTTCCTCGGTCAAATCTAACTCAGCTTTGTTTTTTTATCTGTGGCATGTTATTCGGTGAATCCAACTCCATTATATTTCTTCAGTTTATTTAGGTGAGTCTCAGTGCATCTTTAATAACTTTTATCATCAATTTTTATCATTTCTTAATTACAAGCACCTCCTTATACCCCCCCCCC